GGCTTTGTAGGGATGCGAGGTCAATGGTCTAACGACTACGGCATGCACGACTATGAGTACACCCCCCCTCCGCCGGCCAATCCCGAGAAGAAACGCTCACCGACAACGGTTCCATGCTCCCATCCAGGGCGGCCCGTAAGCATTCCACCTGCGCCTCGCTTGGCGCCTTGTTCCACGTGAGGAATCGCTTCTGCATGTGGATCGACAGCAGCCCTTGTTGACCCCCACTGAAAATAGTTGTGCAGGCAACGTTACGACAGAAAGGAAGGGTGGCGAGGGGAGAGTCCGCCGGTTATGGTTGTTCGCATGCAAAGATCAACCAATCCATCAGAAGAGATGTTCAGGGAAAGTGTCCGGCTATTGGCCGCCCGCGAGGGGCCCTGCGGAGCGGAGCAAAAAAGACGGCATTCCCTGAATCCACGGCACCCATTATCTACATCCCATGCTCCTGCCAATCACCGAGGCCAACCAAACTACCCCGCGCAAGAGTGACGCAACGTGCGTGTTGCTACATCAACCAACCTTGCCCAACGTTCGGGGTTCGATCAAGAGCTTGCTGCGGCAGCAGGTGCTGCGTAGTCGGGCTGGTGTGATTTACTGCCGTTTGGACACCGAGGAACAGGTTTTTCATTCTCCTACACGTCATCTATGCTTGCACTCGAGGTGGGCGCCCGGCGCTATTATCCGTCCATGGTATTGAGGTTGATCAGATTAGCAGCCGTGACGCCCATCTCACCTATATGCTAACGCCGTAACCAGCGTCTCGTTCGCCAAGGACGTCGCAGAGGTAGACACCGGTGCCAACGCCACGAAAACGTTGCCCCCTGTCAATGTCAACGCCCGCGAACACGCCAAGAAGTCAATTTCGCAACAACATGTAAGATGTTGTTGTCTGAGGGGGGGTCGTCCTGGCTCGTTGCTTGATCGTGCGCCAGTTCGATCGGTGACTGCGCAAAATCCCCCCTCGGAACGGCAGGGAATAATCACACTGCTCCAACCTGGCCACAATTGCGTCTCCGCGTCTGCATTTCTTACGTGCATCAGTTGGTGGTGTCCATGCGGGCCCGGCAGGAAAAGTCAACAAATAAAATTTACGTCGTCAGTTTCTACATTTCGACCGGTCGAATACCCCCTTACGGGCCGTGGACGTTTTCTTCCGATCACATAACAAGGGCGGGCTGTGTGGAAAAATCCCAGCGCACCCCCCAGCCTTTCGGGCTTGGAAATCGACCAAAACGCCGCCACCAAAAAATGACAGAAGTCAGTGCCATCCCACACCCTCTACAAGGGACCGCTGTTCGCAGTTCGGCGGAGGGCAAGTAGCCTCGCATTACGCCCCGCAACTTGGGGGACAAAGCAGTGCGTCGGGTTTCTTCCCCACCAGGAAGGCATGCGAACAGCCCGAGGCGCAAAGCATCAGACGGGGTGGGTACAATGCATGCTGGACTTGATGCTGCCTGCACAACGCAATATAAGTGCAGAAACCTACACAGTCGTTCAGTTGTCAAACCGGAGACCTGCGCACAGAGCCGGATTCAATAAATGACGTACGCATTTTCAAGTTAATAAGCGACTTCCAACATCGGGCACACGATAAATATCGTGTTGGCGGCAACAACAACTCACTCACCTGTCACCTTGCACGCCTCCATAATGAAATCATTGTACATGCCATCCTCATCCGTCAGTAGAACTCGGCCCTCATTGTAGTGGCACAGTAATATTAATCGCCCGCCGCCCCGTCCGTCCTCGCGAAGCTTGATACCCTACGATCGGTTGATGAACACACATGTAGGAACAAAACAGGGAACAAAGGGGGGGGTATTATGCAAGTTCGAACGGGGGTATGTACCACGTGATTATCAAGCCGACACACGTTTAGCAGCTGCTGAAGTAGAGTTACCCCGTGTACCCCGGCACCCCCTTCGTCGAGTGTAGTTCAAAGGAGGAGACAACCATGCCATTCTTCGCGGGGTAAAGCGGGTGAAGAAGATGGGGGTAAAACATGTCCCCAAAAGCCGATCTAGCCCTAGATGCCCCGGGAATTCCCTTCAGGCTTCAGGCAGACAAGGGCATTTGCTCGGCAGAAAGGTTAGTACGAAGTAGATGCGGCGTACAAACACGGCAGATACAACGTGGGACGCACAGCAGTTTTCTTGTTTTTTTCCTACCTCTACGGCTGTAGATACCTTCAGCTCTGATCGCAAGAGGGGCGTGGGGGAAGAAACCTCTACATCCTCGCCCAGGGCTTGTCGGAGAGCCTTCGCTACTCTCTGCTGCTCCTTGCTGTCGAGGCTGCAGGTATCCCCAGCGGACATGTGGCGACAAGTACAGCAGTAGTAGCGGAGGTAAACGCGACGGGCGGAGGAACCAGGTGTTGTTGCTATTGTTTTCACATTAAAGGCCGTTCCGATCTCTCTACCCAGTACCGTCGTATGTCCGTACTGATCCAACACTCGACGCGGTCGATTCCCGTGGTCGCAGGCTAGCTTACCCTAACAAGTTACACTCAAATAAACTGGCCCCGAGGGGTCCGCAAGTCAATAGAAATCAACGACAGATATTCTGGGGTCCTCCACTCCCTCTGCGCGCTATGCGAGGTAACAACTGAGACAAGGGGTCACCATCACGAGCCGGAGAGAAAAAGGTATGGTTCAATCTTGGTACTTCACAACGCAAGCAGAGACAAGGCCATCTGGGCACAGAAAAAGAGAAAAAAAGTGATAAAAAAAGAAAACAGAGAAAAAGACAGGAAACAGTAAAGAGAAAATGAAATGAAAAAGAACGAGGACAAAATGGGACCAGGCCGAAAATAACAAGAGGTAAGAGGCAGAAAAAGGCACACGATGGAGAGATCAATAACGAGCAAGCAAACACGCAAACATGGCCACCAACCAGCGATACATTGTAATGGTACGTCATCACTAGTGGGGGTTGGTGCAATGGTGCAGCGTTGGGGGGGGGGAATTGACTAAAAGAAATTCAATCCGGCACGTATCGCGCCACTCGGTCCGCCTCTTCTCGTTTGCTTTCTTCCCTCGCCGTCTCGTCCGTCTCCTGCCCCCCTCCCGCCCCATTGGTTGTTGGCTTGTGGTTTCGTTTGAGCGCCCATTGTCGGCTAGCCTCTTCTTCCTTCTCGTGCCAGGAGATCATTAACCTCTCAGCTCCCTGCAGCACCGCCGCATGCCAGGGTACTCCCCCCTCTACCTTCGCGGCTTCCGTCCACTTTAACTTCGGTGCCGTGTCTTTCGGTACCGGGATTCCGAGACAACATGGATCGGTTTTCGTAGATCCGTGGTCGGCCCCGAATGCCTTCAGGTCGTCGAGCACACACTTCGGCCAGTTCTGTTCCTGTCCCCCCGTACGTCGCTTCCCCCCCCNCGGCTTCCGTCCACTTTAACTTCGGTGCCGTGTCTTTCGGTGCCGGGATTTCGAGACAACATGGATCGGTTGTCGTAGATCCGTGGTCGGCCCCGAATGCCTTCAGGTCGTCGAGCACACACTTCGGCCAGTTCTGTTCCTGTCCCCCCCTACGTCGCTTCTCCCCCCCTGCCAGTTCGCCGAACATCAGTCGTTTCGGGAGTCGCCCGTCCGGCTGCCTTGCCAATGCTCCCGCGAACAGTAGGCGTCGTTGTCGGATCGTGGCTTCCAACGCTCTGGCATTCGACCCATTACAGCGTCTGGGCGTAAGAAAGCTGCCGGTAGGCGTCTTTCTTGCGCTTGTACCCGATAACTCGAAGGAGCAGTCGGTGGTGTATCGACCGCAGCGTCTGATAGTGGCCGCTGAGTGGTGACCATGTCATGCAGCCGTACAGCAGTGCCTCCATCGCCTCCGCCTGGAGCAGGCGGATCTTGAGTCGGAATGGCGCTTTCGGTCTGCCGAAGAGCTACCTGCCATATCTGCTCTTGTAGTTGATCTCCTGGGTGAGGTCGCCATGTTCGTTGACGAGGCCACCGAGGTACCGGAACTCGGTCGTCTGGGCGTATTTCTGTCCCGCGGCTTCGATGGTCAGCGGTGGAGGCGGGGGGGGCTGTGATGTTGTAGTCGGCTTGTCCGCGCGCATCAGTTTGCGTCAAATGCAACATGCCGCAAGCATACATGTCGGTGTCCGTAAGTTTGCACATTTGCACCGCTTCCGTTCACCGCCACGCAATCCCGTCCAACAGGAAGTGTGGGTGCTGCACAACTCATGCACCTCGTCCTCCCCACGTCAAAGGGCGGTTAGCTCTCAGGTGAGACGGAATACACACTTCAGAATTTGAGAACAGAGGTGTTACTCTCATCCACCGTCGCGTTGTACATTGCATTGTAGGATACATATGCATATTCAAATACGCCTCTTTGCTCTTTTCTCGCGTGGCTCACCTGTAAACATCAACCATATACAAGCAAGTACGTCCTCTTTGGCGAGAATGCAGCCAATCGATTCCTCGTTGCGGGTGCGGGAGTGTGCACTGCCCAGCATCCACACCCACAGCCTGGTTCAGCGACCGCCCGTCTGGTTTCATGTGGTGCACACACCCTTCTTCGCTGAATCACGGAGCTCCCGGCCCAACGCGCCGGACAGTCCCGCCCCGGTCCGTTTTTTTTCTCGATCGCACTCTGCCCTCTATCCACAAGGACACACGCACAAACAGCAGCATGTCGCTTGGTTCGCAACGCATCATCCATTTTCTTCGCCACTCGTCGATGGTAAGGCCTGGGACATGTCGCGCCATCCTCATCGCGAGACATCGTTGCGTGTCCTCCGCGTCTGGAGACAGCAGATTTCCCGCACCGACGACGGGTTCCGCTGCGCACGGGGTGACGGTGACGGAAACCAAGTCGGGCGCAGAAGACAGGCCGGGACAGCAGGGTCCCGTGACGCTAGACTTGTGCGGAGAAGTCGAAGGTGCGAACTCGGTGTGATTTGGATTTTGTGCATGTTTTGTGTCATAGTTTGTACTGTAATCAAAACTCGAGTGTATACAGCAAGTAGGTTTCTATAAGCAGTGCGCGATGCTCTGTGTCACGCGCTGACTCTTGCTTGTAGCTTTTGCTGCGCACGAGCAGCTAATATTGTGGCCACGTTTCCACTCAACCCGTCATGCCAAGTGCTCTACATGGGAAGATAGACCTAACGCATTTTCGTGACCCACCATTCTTCCTGTTGGCTTTCAAGGGGAGGCTGTGATCTCGCTAAGTTACACTTGTTGTTGTTGTTGTCTTCACATTAAAAACCATCCCGGTCTCTCTTTCCAGTACCTCCTTCTGTCTCAATCTCTCCGTACTAATCCATCACTTGACTCGGCCAATTTCCGTGGTCACAGGCTAACGTACCTAGAAAAGGTATACCAAAATAAAATGGACCCCAAGGGTCAGCAGAGCGATAAAATACAAGAAAACAAAATA